AGCTGTGAAACCGCTCTCCTGTGTCTGCTTTGCAGCAAGGGACCCTGTGGCAATTACATATGCCATCACCAAGATCTGGTTTTGTATATATATGTAGATACTTGTTTATTTTTCTAGTTTTAACTTCTAACCTTTAAGTCTCTCTTCCTTATTTGCCTTTTATCTTCCATTGGGAGGGTGGAGGGGGGTTAACAGACCAATTCTGTTCTCTGATTTTTGGGTTGCCCTAACCAGTAAACTGAGACACCATCAAAAGCTTCCTCAGCCTGTAGCAAGTGAAGAGTGAGACTTCAATTGAGAGTTAATGGTTATGGTGTTTAAAGTTTGTGGGGTTAATGGTTTGACTGTTGCTTGCATGGGGAGCTCTGCTCCTCAGGCTTCCTGGTGTCAGCTGCATCAGCAGCCTGGCTGGCAGGACCTGTGGCTGTGCTCTCTGCCTGCCTGCAAACAGCATGGCTCCAGGTCAACAAGAACACTGCGAGGAAGACTTCAGGCCTTCCTCCAGAAGACCCCTGCCCACGGCCACCAGAAGGCAGTGGGCATGTGGAAGCGGGAGGAACCATATAATAATGATTTCTGATAAGTACTTAACACAGTCCTGCCCGTTAATGCACATGCATGACTTGGCTGCATCAGTTGTGCCATCCTGACGTTGGGTGCAGGTGTATGGAATAGCGATCCCTGTGTACCTGCGGCTGCAATGAAGTGCAATCTGCTTTGTAGCTTCATGGGGCTGCAGAGTTTTCTTTCTGCATGTCAGCTTCCACTCTCGCCCTTTGGGACAGAGGATGGTGTGGCTGGGGTTGCTGTCTTATGTTTCCTTACCTGGTTAACCAGATGAGCAGGTTTTTATCATCTCCGTTCTGGAGAATGAGGCATCATCTCAGAAAATGGATGGGCTTGACTTTGTTTTGTGGGCTGTGGATGATCATACTGTAGGAATGTCCCTACATGTTGTGACTGTCCTCTTGCATGGTGAGTGAAGGGAGGTAAGAGAGATACCTTTGCTCAGAAGCTATGCCTAGACTTTTGGGACACTGTTAGACTTGTTCTCTCTTGCTGATGGTATCAGAAATGTGAGTGTACAGGGTCCTGCAGCTACAGCTATGTTAGTGTAGCTCAAGTGTTAGCCTAGCAAGGCCTAAGAATCAGGACTGTCCTTTAACAGAAGAACAAAAATGGGCACATTGTGGTTAAAATCGGTTATTGTAGGTGTGATGGCCCCTCCAGCCTGGTTATGGAGCTGTGTCCTGGTAATGTGGGAACAGTGGGGGACAGTACTGCTGTGGCTGCCACCAGCCTGAGTGAGCTTCCTGACCCAAGTGAGCATCCAGGCCACGCAAAGACCTCATGCACAGGACTTCAACCTTACGCCATGACATGCATCCATGACCTGAAGGATGTATGTGACTGTGTTTTTTCTCAGGTCTCTGCTTCGATTTGAGCCCCACCTGGTCCTTCTCTCTGCTAAGCTACAAGCAGCAGCAGCAGGCACAATAAGGGGTGCTCTGTTCCTCTCCAGCCACCACAACCCCACTTGCCTGCTGCTGCAGCTGGTGGGTAGCTGACCTTTACCCAAGAGATGCTTTTCCTTGGAGCTGGCTGCAGAATGCAGTATATAAGCTCTGCTGGCATAAAAACAACAACCAACCCCAGTGAATGTAGGTAGAGCTCTGAGGAAGAACAGAGCAAACATATGATACTGCTGTCCTCATACTACTCTGCCAGCCTCAGCTAATTCAGTTCTGGGGCTTCCTGAGTTATGTGTTTTCATGGACTTAGTGACCCCCAGAGAACCTCAAACACGTCCAGTTCCTCAGAGAGTGTTTGCAGACCAGCATAATTGCAGGTGTGGTATTTAGTGAGATGCATCTGTTTGATTTAGATTGCTGAAGTGAGCTGTGCCTCTGAGCCCAGCAGATACAGGTTTCTGTCTGGTTCTTGTTTCTGTCTGCAAATACAGAAAGTGCTTTGCTGGCTTTCCAGCTGCTGAGCTGGGAGCCTTTGTCATGGTGCTGCCATCCCTTTGAGTCACAGTAACAGCAAGGGATGAGGGCTGGTAGCAGCAGTGTGCTTGTCCTGTCCCAGGGCTCTGTCAGCTTTGTGCTTGACATGGGTACATGCTGTCCTCTGAATCACTCTCAAGTGATCCATCACAGAAACAGGATGTTCACCCCAGTCCCAGCTGTTCTCATCATTGGAGGGTTCATCCTTAGCTCTGGTCTCACTCCTTTCATAAAGTCATCATTGCCATTCTCTGTTCAGCATCTTCTTCCATTTCAACCACAGTTGTATAAAGTTTTCCCCAGAGTCTTGTACACAAGCTGTGCTCTCCCAGCTCTTTCTCTAGCTTCTTTTTTTTTGTCACATTTTTGCAAGCTTTTTTTATTTTTTTATTTTTTTTTTTTTTTTTCCAGAGCTTTCTGACCTGGGTTTTTCAGCTGTAATGTAAACCTCATTCATTAGCTTCATGCTTTAATGACATATGTTTATGTTTGGGCTCTTAGAACAAGAGGAAAGGGTCTCAAGTTAGGCCAGGGGAGGTTTTTGCTTGGATATTAGGAAAAAAATATTCACTGAAAGGGTTGTCAGGCACTGGAACAGACTGCCCAGGGAAGTGGTGGAGTCACCATGCTTGGAAGGATTTACGAGATGTGTAGATGTGGTGCTTAGGGACATAGTTTAGTGCTGGACTTGGCAGTGCTGGATTTATGGTTCAGCTTTATGATCCTAAGGTTCTTTTCCAACCTAAACAATTCTGTGAAGCCCACCAGCTTTTCTGCCACCAACTTGCATGACAAATTCACATTTGATTTTTGTCCATTCTCTAGCATAAGTTACCATCTTTCTTCTGCTGAACATCTTTCTTTTGAAAATATCCCTTTCTTCTCACCTTCCTGCTAGAGCTGTTTTCAGGTTTGGATTTCTAAATTTTCTCACTTCACAAATTTCTGTGATCTCCCCAACCTCTGCCTCTCTTCCCTGTAGTCTGCCTCTTGTGTTATCACCCTCCTCTGCTTATGGAAACACGGACGTGCTGCAGAAGACAGGTGTTTCATGCATACTAGGAAATTAAAGTATAGGAGCCAATTTAGAAGGGATCTACAGAGCGAGCATCTAATCCATCTCTCAGCCCTGAAGCAGAATCCTATCAAGATAAATAATTCCCTAATGAATATTTGTCTTATCCTGTTTTTCCAAGTCACCCAGGATGGAGGATCCACACCTTCCTAGGCAATCAACTTCAATATTATCACTGTTATATCACTCCAGTATCACTCCAGTACCTAATGTAAGCCTCCTGTTACAGTTTTTCCTATCCAGCCCTTGTTTTTGCAGATACATGTGATATGACTGGGTGTCCCCATAGCACCTTTATTGTTTCCAGGGTCTTTCGTAAGTCTTATTTTCCAGGTCTCTTTATTGCTTCAGATTGTGGCTCCTTCTTGCTGTGCTTGGTTTCATCTCTAAACTGCACATGAAAAGGCTACAGCTTCACACCCTCCCTCCACAAGAGGAGGGAAACAGGCGAGTTCAGTGTAACTCAGTGGGGCTAGTGCAGTCATGTAATTCAGGGAAAATCCCCCAGGCACTTCAGTAATCATCTTAAATGAAAAGACATGAAATTAAAATAACTAGAGACAGCCACATCCACCCATCCCCCAATCTGTACCTGCAGACCTGCATGCAGTTCAATGGCAGAATCACCCTGATCTGACTACCCCAGACTGCCGGGGGACAGGCTTTTATTCAATCTGTGGTTTAAGACCAATGAGGAATGAATCTGAGTCCTGGACTGGCTGCACACTTCATTATGATATATCTGCTGTGGCATGATACAGTTTCTGAGCTGGAAAAGAAAATGAAGGTGCTGATGTTATACTCCCTTGTCCTCTTGTGATACCAACTGTGTGATTGCACTGATTTCCATTCTCCTAATGCTGTGGGGTTAGCTAAGAAGAGGTGCCACTGGGCTACTCAGTGTATTTGGAGAAGTCACAAGAGAACTTAGAAGAAGAAGAAGAGCTTAGTTCCATGTGGAAAAAGTAGATAGTAAGGCAGGAAAGAGAAACAGAAAGTCAAAGCAAAAGAGTGAAACATCAGCAAGATCTGTGATTTTTCTCTGTGGATTTGCAGGAACTCTCTGGCAAAGCCAGGAACTGTGGCTTGCCATTAGCTCAGCATGGGATCTCAGGACATGGAAAACCTACTCTAACATTACCTAAGTTGTGACCAGGCTGCCTTATAGCCACATCGATGCTTTTTCCTTGCTGGCTTGTTTGATTTAAAGAGGCACAGTAGAAGGTTTTCTTAACAACTTCCAAATGTTTTCTATCAAAACCCGCACTCTGGCGGACCTGCTTTGCAGCTCTGACATATTCAACCCCAGGAATCCTTTGACTGAGCCTGCTCCAAGCAGTGCATTGGCATTCATTTTACAAACAGAAGCTGCAGGCCAGCTTGGAGAGGAAGCTCACTGCTTGGCCACTGTCTGCTGTACTTGGGATATGAGAGCTCCTGGCTCTCTGATGGGAAGTAAGATGGGAAACCAGCCAGCAAAAACTCAGCCAAGAGGAAAATTCCTGCCTGGCCCTTGCTACGCTTTGCTTCTTTGGGCATAGTGGTGAGAGCACAACAGGGCTGTTCAAATGGTTCCTTCTCTGTCATTTGTATGTATGGCAGAGGTTGAATTTTGTTCAAATAAAGTGGGCACCAGGGACATACCTTACAGACCCTAGGCAAGCCAGTCTTTCCCCACAGCCTGCATACTCTAGATGGGGGAAAGGTAAATGGCATTACTTTCTTGGAGGCAAAGGCAGAACTTGTGCTTCAAATGAAAAAGAAACAGTAGTGATAGTGCTTTGCGGTTTCTGTGTTTTTCAGAGCCCTTCCTCAACTGCTGCATCTGCAAAATGCCCTTTCCTCCCTACTTTATAAAGCCCTTGTGATGCACTGTGCTGTGTTCAGTTGGTAACTGTCTGTGTTTACATTCCAGCATCATGAAAGTGTCCATTGGCCTTGGCTTCTTCCTGGCTTTCCTGGACCCAGGTGAATTTTTGGTGGGGACCTGTGGGGCTGGGAGACATGGAAGTGGTCTGGAAATGGGGGCTCTGGGCATGGGGCTGTTCTTGCTGTAGGAAGCCCCTCATATGGGGAGACTGGCATTACAGAGGGGTGACTGGTCTCAGGGGATCTTCGGTGCTAGAGGCCAGTGTGCGGGTGAAGGTGTAGGCACTGGGAATGTGATGCAACTCTCTAAGCTACTGTAGTGGTCACTGGTCATCTGTCTGGGGCAGGCACAGGAGTGATTCAGGTTACTCTGAAGCAGACAAGACCTTTGGTTGGCTGAGTTGATCTCTGACCACCATTTACCGCAAACATAAGAGCTCATTTATTTTGCTCATGTGCAGGGATGTATGACATTTTAGGCACTTTGTTATCTCAGCTGTCCTTTGGCTCTGCTCCAAAAGAGCACTGGTGTCTTGAAGGTCCTGGGTCATACCTGCCACCCATGTAGGTGTTGCAGCCACTTTAAGGTGCCTTAGATGAAACCTGAGGTTAGGGAATCAACATGTGCCCTGGACCTCTTAATCTACCTGCTAGACCCTTGGATCCAGGCGAGTGTGTCAGGGAAGACATATCGTTTGTCCTCTCTTCGTGAAATAATTATTTCTTTCTAAGTGTTTCTTGCTGACTACCTGATACTTGGTTCTGCTTAAGGTGTTCCCACAGGCACTTGGTAAAGTGGTTTCCTCTAATACTTACAAAGAGATAAGCCATTCCCCAGTTTGCACATAGCACAGTCAACACTTGGCTGGCAGCCTCCTTGATCCCCAGAGGTTTGAGTGTCCTGCTTGCTGCAAGGAAAGAGGATTTGCGTCCTAGGAATCCAGGGACACCTTGGATGCCTGCCAGGAGAGAGAGGTTTATGGGGTTACATTCCTTAGCAACCTCAGGGAAAACAAGTAAACATCATTATATAAAAGACAAGGGAAGCTGGATGGGTGTTTGTGGTTACAATGTAAGATGATGTCCCAAAATGGCTTCCCCACTTGCCCAAATTCTAGTTCACAATAATAGAAATAAGAAAAAACAACCCACAAATTGAGAAATGAAACAGGGAAAATAGGGGAAGCAGAATCTGAAAAGTGCTGATTAAGTGCTGAAGCAGAACATTGATGAAGGGGAAGTGAGATCCCTCATGACTGCTACACAGGAATGTGTCCTTCTTTCCCCAGGTACCTCCCTTCAGTGTGAGGTTTGTCAGAACGTAGGAAAAAGCTGCTCTGGCCCCATGAGAACCTGTAGTGGTGGTGAGGATACCTGCGGCATCACTGTACACGAGGTCATGATAGGTAGGTGAGACATCTGCTGTGGCTGTGTCCCAGGGGGGCTGGGGGATGCATATCTGTGCCCACCTCTGTCACTGGCCTTATGGAGAGTCCTTGGATGAGCTGTCCTTTTTCCTTTTCACTGACAGCACCCAGAGATCAGGATGGTCTGGGATGGGAAAAGCTCTCTATCCTGTATCTTGAGCAGCTGTTTCTTACTGTCAGGGCTTAGTTCTGAATTGTGGAGGGGAGGACCTAGGCAATATACTGCAAGAGATGCTGGCTTATCATTCTGTTAAAGTAGGTAGTTGGGTTGAGAGCCTGGTCTGTGGTTCACAGGAAAGATGAGGCGTGCCTGTGTCAGGATGCTTGTGGCTGTGATGGACTGTGTGCTCTGCAGACTACATGAGGAAGGGTGGGCTGTGGGTCAGAGGCACATGGGTCACCCCGTAGGCTCTGTGGCTGGGCACCTCTGGCTAAGGTGGACATCCGCAGCAAGGCCAGCTGCCTGTGAGGGGTTTGTTTTCCTCCTGCCTTTAAGCACAACGTGAAGAAGAAAGAATTCCTCTCTAGTGTCTCAGATGTGATGACACCCTTGGTCCTCTGAGGGGATCACCAGGATCACTGGTGCAGCTTTTGGTGTGACATCACTGTCCCCAAGCCCCAGGACAGCTGTTTAGTGGTTGTTGCCATAGGAGCTAATGGGAGTTACCTTGTGGTTAACCACTTGTTGCTGCCTTCCGCTTCATTACAGGGGGTATAACAGTCCCTTCATCCATCAAGTTCTGTGTGCCATCCAGTGTTTGTCAGCTGGGTCCTATCACCATGAACTACGGGAAGGTAAAAGTAAGGAGCCACATCGCTTGCTGCGTAGGCGACGATTGTAGAAAGATCTCTGTCACATGTAAGCTCCCCTTTTCCTTAAGACCTATCCCCTCTTTGTCTGCCTGGCCTCAGGTCAGGCTTTCCAGGCCCAGGCATCACCTGGCTTAGCTGCACATCAAGTACTGTGTTCAATTCTGGGCCCCTCACTACAAGAAAGACATTGAGTTGCTGGGGCGAGTTCAGAGATGAGCAAACAAGCTGGTGAAGGTGTTGGAGAGCAAGTCCTGTGAGGAGAGGCTGAGGGAATTGGGATTGTTTAGTCTGGAGAAAAGGAGGCTGAGGGGACACCTAATAGCTCTCTACAACTACCTGAAGGAGGTCGTAGAGAGGTGGATGTTGGCCTCTTCACTCAAGTAAATAACAGTAAGATTAGAGGAAATGGCCTGAAGTTGCACCAGAGGAGGTTTAGACTGGGTATTGGGAAGAATTCCTTTACTAAAAGAGTAGCCAGGCACTGGAACAAGTTGTCCAGGGAGGTGGTGGAGTCACCATCCCTGGAGATACTTAAAAACCATGTAGATGAGGCACTTCAGGACACTCTCTACTGTTTTTGTTTTGGTGGGTTTTTTTTGTTTTATTTTTTTTTGTTTGTTTTTTGTGTGGTTGTGGGTTTTTTTGGTGTGTTGTGTTTTGATGTTTTTCTGGAAGGGGTGGGTGTTGACAGTTGGACTAAATGATCTTAGAAGTCTTTTCCAGCTGTGACAATTCTGTGATTC